GATAACTGGGACAAAAAAAAAAAGTGAAACTTTACATTTAGTGTGGTTAAGTAGACAGTAAGTTCCCACTCAAAACTTACAATTTAAAACAAAAAACACACACACAACTTCACTGTAGTAAGTCCAGACCTCAGAAGAAACTACAGAACAAGCACACTTATGGAAAAGGTAAGGTATGGGTCAAGGTTTCTTAGCTACCATAGCCTTCTGGGTAACAAGTATTTCTAAAATAAAAGCATTTGGATCACTTAAACAAGCATATCTGAGCTACCAGTATCTTTATAAATTAGCATCACCTCTTTCAAATTGCACTTTTAAATTAAGTTTCCTTAAATCAGTGTTTGACCAAAAAATTTTTTTTTCCTGTATTTCGATACAGGTTTTTAGGATTGTGGGGTTTGTTTTTCTTTCAAACCACAGAGCATACAAAACAAGTCCAGCTCTCCCGACCCTTCGCGCACCTACAGCGAGTAAAAGCTCCCCAAGCAGCACTGGTGAGAGACAGCTTTGTCACCGTCACATGGCAGTGCCGAGACACGTGTCCCGAGACCTCAAGCGGTCTCGCTGATAAAGTTTGTGGCAGCCCCCGCTTTTAGCACAGAGTTACAGCAGTGAGTAGGGGACTGTTACCGTTTGGCAGGTTTTTTCTCTCCCCACCAGATGACTGTTCAAATAGAGAACTCCAGTTTTAGCTCAAGAAGAGGATGAAACGATGCATTCCCACATAAGTCAGAAATACCGCTGTAACTTGCGGCAAGAAAGTATTACTGCAGGAGTTTCTTGACGTAGTTGACAAACAGGATCTTAAAGCTGGGCTGAGATTTCTCCACTCCTCTTGCACTTGCACACAGACACAAAACACTGCGATGGAAAAGGGCTGCGGTCTTTCGGACCTAAAGGATGAGTTACTTCGAGTAGAGGTGCTGCGGATGCTTGTCTGTTGTTTGCATGGGGTTGTTTTATTTAAAGTAGCACGGAGCTGTCAGGGGCCTCAGCAAAGGCGCTCTGCGGAGCGGGCCAAGCGGGCGTGCTGCCCGCCGGGTTCCCGCGCTCCAGCGGCGGCGCCAACCGGCCGCGGCCCAGACC